ATTGTTCTTCTTGGGTAGCACACATCGCTCACATGTAGACATACGTAAAGGTTCAGTCTTCAAGTGACTATACATTAACTTTAGAAAACCTAGCCTTTGGCTGCTTCTACAAGAAGGGGCCATCTTTGGAGAAAAGTCACTAATATTTAATTTGAGGTGAGCGATTCTGAAACTTCCGATGCTTCAGAAGCAGCTGGGGGGCTTGTAAAGCACAGACTGCTGAGCTGCAGTTCAGTGTTTCTGATTCAGTGGGTCTGGGAATTGGGAAGTTGAGAATTTGCATACCTTTTTTTTTCAAGTTCACTGAATATCATCTTAAGGCTTTTCTTTGTTGAAGGACGGTTGATGTACAATTGTGTGTCAGTTTCAGGTGTACAGCACAGTGATGTGTTTTGTTTTCAGGTTACACTCCATTATAGGCTATTACAATATTTTGGGTACAGGTTCCTGCACTCCCAGCTGCGGCTGCGGCTGCTGCTGGTCTGGGTTCTGCACTTTGGCAGCTAACGCTTTACATGAGTGTTAAATGAAACTGAGAGTTGCTAACAAACAAATTAAGATAGAATAATTGGAAACCTTAGAAACCTTCTGTTTGTGTATACAAAAGCGATATTCAAAATATTTAACAAGCCACTGGCCAGTTAGAATGCATACTGTTCGTAACCCATATGGCCAAACCTGTGCGATGTTAGATTTGAGTGAGTGTATGCAACAGAGAAACAACTGTACAAAGGTAAACACAAATTTTAAAACTTTTTTCCAGGAATAATTTTTCAATACTTTTCAAAATAAAAATCTATAAAGTCAGTGTTTTAGACTTTAGGGTACTAGATCATGTTTTATCATTTCATTTTGTTATTTCCAAAACAACAACTAAGTTAAAATTTTGAAAGATAATTTTCTTTCAAAAACAGAAAAAAGTGTTCTTCTGTTCAAGTATTATCTCTTCTCTCCCCAGTGAGGAGGATGACTCCTTTAATAACCACTCCTTACTTTTCCGTTACATCTTAATAGGATAATGTTTAGTGTATTTTAATAAAATTTTAATGTGATAAAATTAAATGATGTCAGAAACAAAGACCACCTTGTTCTTTTTGAAATCACATGTGTTTATGAAAATTAATTGGTGGCTAACATTTGCAGATCTCATACTCCCCAATTTATCCCTTCCCACCCAATTTCCCCAGTCACCGTTAAGATTGCTTACTATGTCTGGAAGTTTGTTAATGTTAGCCACTAAATATAAAAATAGATTAAAAAAAACAAGTTTCTTCTGTATAGCACAACGAACTATGTTCAGTATCTTATAATAACCTTTAATGAAAAAGAATATGAAAATGAATACATGTATGTATCTGCATGACTGGGACATTGTGCTGTACACCAGAAACTGACACATTGTAACTGACTGTACAATAAAAAAGATACAAACTATAAAATAAATAAATCAGTTAGAGTAACCAAATATGTATGCTTATCATAAATTTCCTCATTTTTGAAAAGCATATTAAGACACTTTATGCAAAAGGCATGTAGAATAAAACTGCACAGAATATTGGCACCAATGGAATAAAATGATACCTGAATATTAAATTTGCAGTGAGTTTCACAGAATAACCGTGATCTATAACAAAGCTTCTTACTTAGATAAGTAAAATAAATGTGTGTGTACGTGTGTGTGTTTCAAAATGATGAAACTCCTCTGCCAAATGTTAGCCACTTAACGATTATTTTTATCTACTTTGAAACTTCAGTTGCATTTAAACTGGGAGACTTTTTGAAATACTGAAGGCAGAATTTGAAGATTGAAAAGATGACTAGGATGTGGCAATGGCATTTAAAGTGGCGTCACTCTTTTCTGCAGGAATGTGTGTGCATATCTTTAATGTCAGCCCTTGCCTCTGGGATGACACTTGTTAGATTTCATGGTGTCATGTGCTTAGTTCAAGGTCGGTAGTCATGAGTTTTATTACACAATACCCAGATATTTCACTTGTTATCTAGAAGTAACTTGTTTAAACCAATTTTTCTTGTTCTGCTCGCTTCTCTGTGTACTGGGATCACCTAATTCTGTTTTAGTTTTAAAATACGAAATTCTGAAAGGTGCTGTCATGAAGTAGTATGGTTGTTAAACCTTGAAATCATTCCTGTGAAAAACAGTTGTTTGCTTCTGTTGGATGGTTCCTGGGTTCCCGGGGATGACTTGGCTCAGGGACTGGCTAACCCCTCAGAGGGAAAATGGTGCACTGCGTACTCCCAGCCCAAAGGAAAAACACTGGGGGCCCAAGAGACATTTCTGGCCAACTGCTGATTTTTAAAAGTCTCCCAGCAGAATTTCTTCGTAGGTTACAGCTTTGTCTACAGTCACAGAAAGGGGTTAGATGTGGCTGAACAATCTGTCCAGACTCACAAAGTGGTAAGGAGCGCTGGCGGGGCTTTCTCGCTCTCTACAAGGATCACACCTTCATGCAACACACCTGTATCAAGGTGGACCACGAGTTAATGGGGTCAATACACACAGATAGAAAAATGAAGACTTATAATTCAAGAGCAGTCCAATAATTTCTACAAACATTAAATAGAGGTCCATGACAAAGAAAAGTTAAAGTATCCAGATGGGTTATCTGTCTACATTTGGTTTCCGAGTTGTATGTCCACTTCCACCCCCAACACACACACACACACACACACACACACACACACACACACACCCTGCACCATCACAAGCAAACTGATCACTTCTAGCACCATCATCACCCCGATATACTCCATCATTTCCCCAGAACTCTACGTGTCTCAGTCTCTCCATAGCATTTTGGACCTTCATACCACTCAAATTTTTTTTTTTAATTTGTGGGAAGCTCGGTTGCTTTTTTTATAGCAGATGTTTTTTTAATGAAGATAATTTTTATCAGGGTGCTTTGGGGCTATTATTCAGTTAATAAATGACTATGCATTTTGTCTTGTTTGTTTTGCTTTTTAATATATGAGATGTCTCAACTGGAAGCCCACCAACTGTTGGTAATTTATCACCCCCTTCTCCCCACAACTTCCTGAGCCATTTCGCTTGTTGGAAGCATTGGCTTAGTTGTATCTGTGCAGAGAGTATTTTGTGTGTTTGTGGTCAGGGCGGGGTTGGGGGGGAGGATGTCAGTACTCTCTTAACCTGCAGGATTCTTTGGGAATGTTTCTTAATATCCAAAATAGTGCCATTTGCTTGGTCCTATAGTGTATTAAAACAAAGGTTTTGAAACCTTTGAAAGATTTGAAAGACCGCTGAGAATATAGATTTGTTAAGATCCTTAAAATAGACATTAAAATGTGCTTTTGATGGTATACGTGGAGCTAGCACTGTTCATTGAAGCCTTGTATTTTAATACGTATTATATAGAAAACATTCACTTCTGTATCAGGAATAGGAGAGAAACTTTGCTTTGAGGGAAAGTGCATAATCCACTTCCTAAAGAAGATATTGTGGATTTAATTGAATATAGCATCTTGCCCTCAAAAGATCTATCCAAAGGATTTGATTTATTAAAAAAGAAAACTAGACAGGAAAAAAAAAAAGGACACGACTCCGTCCACCAAAATAGCATTCTCCAGGTAGAATCAAACCAATCCAATCTATCGCTGGTTCCTCAATTAACTCTCGGAGGTCTTAACTTCACATTTTGACTCACACTATGTCTTTTGATGTTATGTGTTGTTGGAAAACTGATGCATGAGTGTCCTCTCTGTTCAAACTGTTTCTAATATATAATTTCCTTGTCCAGTGTTCTTTCAATAAGGGTACCTAGTCCTTTGAGGATACTTGTCAGAATGATGCAAATGAAAGTGTGGGTTATTTCTTTATCTATTTATAAAAAAAGATTCTACTTCAACACCCTGCCCACCACAGTGGCTGTGATGAAGAAGACACTGTGACGATTATTTTTCTGGCCAAATGGAACATTGAGTTTAAATAAGTCATGGGATGTGATGGATATCCAGACTCAGTCCTCCACTGAGATTTCTTCTTTATGAGTGACACTTGGAAAGGGTTTGAGCTGCAAAAGCTTCTGATCTAAGAATCTCCCTGCCCACTTCCACCTCACCCTAAGCCACAAAGGATTTTTCTGCCCCCAATAATTAACATTTGTAACTGTATGTTTCTCTAAGATGATTTTGTATCTCAATTAATGTGTCTCTCCAGTACTAAAAAAAAATGGTGTTAAGAAAATGTAAACTTAGGAAAATGTGTATTAGGATTTATTAAAAAAAATCTCAGAAAGTACCAGCAAAAGAATCACATTGGCCCCATTAAGTAGTCACAACACACTGGCTCCTCCTGGCAGTGGACCAGGCCACGTAGACGCACGTGTTGAAAGAACGGCCCTCCCTTGAACCTCTCAGACTACCCTCTGTGGGAAGCAAGGAGAAGGAAAGAGTCATACAGTTGCCCATCTTCCGTCTACTCCATTTGGACCTAGTGCATTTATGTGTGTGCTCTCTCCCTTCAGTGCCAGTCTCTGGGGTGTCCACTTCCCTTCTGTCTGGAGCCTTCTCCTGGTAGACACCTGTTGAGTCCTGTGTTAATAAGACACATTGACAAAGGAGAAAACACGTTTTCTGAGCCCAGAAGGTGAGAGCTCCTCTTTTGTAGGGCCCGTGTTCATCCTGAGGAGCCCAGCATCTTCTGTAGCAGAACAAAGGCAATACAGTTGTAAATTCTTATTTTTGCCCCCCTCTCCACAAAGAAAGTGTCATTGCCGTGTTAGTGTTCACCTGCATCTCTCTTAAGAGAAGCAATGCAGTATTTCTTCCTTCCATCCCAAGGTTTTGGAATTTCCCATCACTTCCCAGCATCATTCGAAAATAGAACCCCACCCACTGTTCGGCCACGGCCAGAAGTAGCTTGAATGGTACCTGTTATTGAAAGGGAGTCTGTATTTGCAGTAATACAGAGAATGCCAGTTTAGAAATGAGCCTGATTGCATGGTTCATTTTGTTCTCCTTTGTAGAGCCAGGCTGCGGCCCACTACAAAGGCACGAAACATGCCAAGAAGCTCAAAGCACTGGAAGCCATGAAAAATAAGCAGAAATCTGTCACTGCCAAGGACAGCGTAAAGACTGCCTTCACCTCCATCACTACCAATACCATCAATACCAGCTCTGACAAAACAGGTTAAGCGATGATCTTTGTTGTGTTCTTGTTCTCATCCTTTTATTTGGGGGCTCCTTCCCTGGTCTAACCGTGTCTGTTACTTCCGTCCCTGCACACTGATTCATGCTTGCTCCATCTTTCCGTGTGATGGTACCCGTTCCCCTTCGTGGTCCCCAATCCCCTTGAAAGATGACGCTAATCACCGGTCACGTTGCAGGTTTTGCATGTGAAACAGCCCTGCGGCTGTTTTAGAGGAAAAGTCAGAAAGGTATTGGAAGCCGTGGCCCCGGTAACTCTTTGTGAGACGTAAACCCCATGTCAGTGTGTGTCGTTTGCATCTTGTCTGCAGCGCCTGAGCTCTAACTGCCCAGCAGAGTTGATTTACCTGTGAGCACACAGCAGAGTATGCCCAGTGAATCGAGAAGACCCCCCCATAAGGGTGTCATTACTGACAGGCTTTATTCTCATAAATCCCAAACGTTGCATTATTTTAAGTAGTGGCGGTGTGACTCTGGGCTTGTTACGGCTGGGTAACCTTCCCTCTGCATGCACAGGTAAGTGTTATTGATACCAATTATTCTTTTTAACAGAATCTTCACAGTGAAGTAATGGCCTTTGAGCGGCCCCTTGGGAGACCTTCTGCAAAGAACTAGTTTATTCTTGCCAGGGGAAGCCAGTGGGGTTTCCCTAAGCTGGCATTTAAAAATATAGGGCCACTGGTCCTCAAAATACATAAAAGGAAATCCCATATAATTCATGGATGTACCTTTAATAAATCACTTTCTAAGAACACAGGGCTGGTACATGGCGGTTGTTTTCCAGTCCCTACAAATAACAGTGGTCAGGAGGCGTTTATTTAGTCGTGGATGGTAATGTGTTAACTCGAAGAGAACTTTCTGGCCATGACTGATGGACATATAAAACGAACAGTGAACTGGTGGCGGGTGGGGGAGAGTAGGTATAGCTCAGTGGTAGAATGTGTGCTTAGCATGCACAAGGTCATGGGTTCAATCCCCAGAACCTCCATTAAAAAATACAATTAAAACAAAATAAAATCCACAGTGAACCAATACAACAGATAAAAGCAACTTGATTACTCATGGTGTATCCATTAGATGTATACAATAATCCTCAAAGGACCTGGAGAGATGCTTGCTTCTGTGTGAACCTGGAAGTGATGACAATGTTCTTTCCGAGTTCCCGCAACAGATTTTCTGTCCTTCATCTGAGTCTTATTGGCAAGTGCGTCACGCCCCCTCCCCGAGAGCCCCGTGTACTCTCTGAGGCTGAGTGCCGCGGGCATCTCTGTGCGCTGGCGCTCAGCCTGATGTGCTGTAGATGCCGAGTGAGATGTCTGTTGGCTGTGTTTTCCCTCACCTCTTTGATTCTCTGATTCATCCAATTTTGTGTCACAATATATAAAGGAAAAAAATAGGACTTGTCACACTCACCTCTTTGGTATCCAGAGCCAGAGCTGAATTATACGATCTTATTAATTTAGACCTAAAACCTCGTAGGCAGAACATTACTCTTTTCTCCCTTAATTGAAAATCCATTGCCTTTTTTAGGGGGGTGCTATAGGGGAAGGAGTGGTAATGAAACAGGTGGGTGTTATTTATGCTCCCAGATATTGGGGCACAAATTGGGAATCTTTAAAGCCATACTTGCCATAAAGATATATATTTCATTTGCAAAGAGATAGTAGGTAGCCAGAATAAAGAAGTGAATTTGGCGTAAAGGTTTGGTCGAAAGAGATGAGTTTGATGCAAAGAGTTGGCTGTACAGTTTTTGCTTGTCCCCAAACTTTTCTATTCCTAGACATTTTTATCAATAATGGCTATTTGGGTTACCTTGACTCCTCTTTAAAATGCAAAAAATCCCTGAGAATGTACATCATTTAAATATATATATGTCCAGAGAGGGTGGAGCTGCTAACAGGGTTTAAGAAGGGCTCCCACGTGTATCATCTCTGTTACCTAAACAACTTACGAACACATACCTCCATCCCTTATTTAGAGACTAGAATGGAAAACACTGCAGTCATCAAGGCTCTGTCGTCTTGGAGGATGAATGGGAAAATTTGGATTGGGCTGTGGGAGCGAGCCTTCGTAACATAGATGCCCAGTGGAGAAGCCAGACCCACCTAGAGATTGGAATGGTGTTGAAAGCGTGACATGCCCTTTCCATCTGGAGCTAGAGAAAATTCCAGAAGGACAGAGGGAAAATAAAGTCTGCAAACTTAGTTCAGATGTCCTAAAGCCAAAGGAAGGAAGTGATGGACATCTGGAAGGGCGCTGGCTTCCTAATCCGTGGCGACCGATATCCACAAAGAAACAGGTCATACAGGTTAAAGACTAAGCATTCCAGCATCCTCACCAGATGTTTGAAGCTGAATTCTTTCCTTAAAGTGGGATTTCTGCACAACTACCAATGAGAAGTAGCCTAGGAAAGCTCCTGGCATTTCATAGACTCTTACCCCATTTGTACTGTAATATAAATCAGAGGCACTGATGCCGACAAAGTGGAGTTTTCTTAAAACTATTACGAGTCCTTTTTATTACTACCTGTGTCCTCGTACTGATTAGGAAGGGGTACAACTCTGAAAGCAGGATGGGTCTCTGTGCTAGTTTCTTGGAATAGTTAAATACTTGGAGGCAGAAGGAGAGAGAGAGAGAGGGCTTGAAAATCGAAGACCATGTATTTTTAAATAATAAAATAAATGTAACCCTTCTACATAAGGCATAATGTTGTTTTGTGATTTGTGGACTTATCCATGCGTAAAAGATATGAATACAGTACATCACTTTTACTAGTTTTACCATATCATTCTTCAAAAGACTAATCCAAATATATATATACTAATGTTTTTATTAGTAGTATATATATATATATATGTGTGTGTGTATATATATATATATTTGTTGTTGGGCAATGAAGTCATTCTTTATAACCCAGATACGGAGAATTATATGAAAATGAGAGAGTCAACTCCATGTCAGCATAATATTATGGGAAATAGAAATATGGACAATAATGGAAAGTTTCAAAGATTTTTAAAGAATTCTTTGAAGTCTTAGTTTTAACCAGATGGGCACTTGGAGATTCAGGACATTGGAGATCACACCTTTAAGAGGCCTGCCTGCTGCCTGGAAGCCAAGATGCTGGGGAGGAGAAGGCAAAAGCAATTAGTATGTAGAATTGCCTTTAAAAGTGCTGAGTATATAGTGATTTGGTAGATGCCAACCTTCCGAGAAGTCTGAGCAATAGCAGTGAAAAGAGCAAGAAGTAGTATGCGTTTGAATTAAAAAAAAAGATTGGGAGGTTTTCCTGAGATTCTCTAGAATGTAGGAAATGGAACACTAATAAAAGAACAGCTTTTCATTGCAAGTCTACTTATAAAAAGAGAATTCTTTTTAAGTTAGGTGTTAGGTTGGTGAATTTACACAAAGAACAATTCACAGGTGAAAGTAATATTTTAAAAAATGTATTAAAATCTCAAAACTGTTGGTGTATGAGGATGCTTGCTATTCATTACAGAATATTTTGCAGAGCGAACATTCCCAGAGGTGACCAGAATAACTTTGTCTGATCTAGCAAGGTTTTGGGTTGTGTTTTTTTTTTTAATTCAAGTTTTTTATACAGAAAAAGTAATGACAAAAATTAAGAAATTATGTTTAAAGTACCTTGTCAAAGATAACTCGATTGACCTTTTTTTTTTCCTGCAAAATAACCAATTCACAATTTGGCGATTAAGTCTTATGCAAAAAGTCATTCTCTGGTCTTTCTTTACTTTCCTTTCTGGGCAATTTTATTCACTCTTATGACCTGTCAGTTAGGTTAGGCTAGGTTAAACTGCTAACTCCTGGTGACTTTTACAGCCACCAATTATATCTCTTACAACTACCTGTGTTTTTTTTCCCATGTTAATTTAACTCCAATGCCAGGCTAATGAAGCAGTCACCAGCTGGACATTACCAACTCTAGGGAAGAGGGGAAAAAAGGTCGCGAATCAATAGGCTTTTAAAGCTGTTAATGGAAGTGACTTTCCTCTCACTTTCATTGGCAAAGCACATGATGAAGCCTGATTGTCAAGGGCAGGGAAGAATGATCTTTGTCGTGGAAGGGAAACAGATACTAGTGAGCAATAAATTACATCTCACCATGGCTTCCACCATCCCTGTGTTAGACGTCTCAGCATTCCACACCTCTCTCCTTGTTCCCCTCCTAAAACCTGACCTGATGTCTTTGGCCTATTGGTCCCTCATTTGGATGGTCTGACAGCACCTCTCTTCTGCCAAGTTCCAAAAAAAAAAAAAAAGCCTGACTTTGACCATCATCCCCGACTTTCTCTCCACCCTGTCTTTCCGAGTTTTATTTTTGGTCCTGCAGCTCACAGACCTGAATCCTTCGAGTTGTCCTAGCCTCTTCTCCCTGAGTCAGTCCAGACATCTGCTTCGTTGTTGGAACCTGCTCCCCTCACATTCCCAGAACATCTTTCACTCCTTCATGCGTGATTTCTATCCATACCCTGGCCTCATAAGTCTCTGTCTTACCCACCACGATTGCCCTAGTCTCCATGCAAGTCTAACTGCCTCCATTCTGGCCCCTTGACAACCAACCACATCCTTCATTCTGTCTGTTTATACTAGGCAGCACTAACCCACTCAGAAACCTCCATGTACCCTTATGCTGGACCTCATGCCCTCCCATGGTTTCACCACAACCTGCCTTTGCAAACTTTCATTCTGTTGCTCATCTACAATATTCTCCACTAGAGACACACTTTCCCCACCATCTTTGTTTCTAATACTGTTCTTGTAAATTTCTCCCTTAAAAGTGTGTCGATTTTCTCTTCTTCCTCCTGCCAATAAGCATCTATGCCTTCCTAATTACCCTATCATATTATTGTCTAAATACCATTTTCACTCCTCTACCTCTTCCTACTGCTAGCTGACATGCCCGTGTAGAGTACATGCTTGCATAATCCTCTTATTTATTTATTTCTCTTTATGGAGTACTT